GGGTAGTTACAGGGCTGTTCTGAAAACCACTTCTGTGAGAACGCACCCTGTCTAAAGATTATTATCTATCTAACATAACTGCCATAACCAAAGTACTGCAGCAGCAAACTCAATTTTTTGAAGGCGCTTCAGCAAGTATCGCAGCAGAGGTGAAAAGACGGAGTCATAATAGTCGAGTCTTGTTAACATAAGTAATTCTACAAGTCTCTTTCTTAGGTTGAAGTCTGTAAAGTGTCTCAATTTACAAAGTGTACTTAAGACTCCATAAGAGGTATTTGCCACATCATTGACATGATCATTCCACTTCAAATTCTCTTGAAGTTTTACTCCCAGTAACTTTGTTTCACTCACTCTTTCCAACTGGTGATTCAAGATTTCCAATTTTGTACAACTGATTTGTGGTCAGGGAAGTAGATGAGGGAAATCAATTGCATCAGCCTGATGATCAGCATAAAAGCCAGGCTCTGTCCTTAAACAGCATTTAAAACTGTCTATTTTCAACCAAATCATGAATAAAATAGTTGTGCTAGAGCACTCTTTAAGAACCTTCAAAAACAGCCTAAAATATTGTGGTTATCTCAATGTCACATGACCTCACAAAGTATGAAGTTTGTCTTTTTCCAGTGTGGATCAAAAGTCATTTGTTCTAGAACAAACCTGGTCACATTAATTTTGCAAATTATGTTTTTTAGCAAGTTCAATCCCTCTGCAATGCATTTAAGATGAAAAAAAAAAAAAAAACACTTGAGAACAAGAAGATTGAACAATTTCTTTTGTTATTTGCCAGTCAGCAAAATGGGTCATATTGCAATATGTAGTTCCAGAAAATATCCATACCCCCCATGGAGGGTTTTCTGTTTAGGAGCCCCCCTCCCTCCCAGGAATTTCCATTTCAGAGGGGTAGTCAAGGACTCCCCTTCCCCTGGAATTTCTGTTATTTTGAAATACCCCTCTGGAAATATTATTACAAATCACTTTTTTTAAGAGAATGACGATTAGCTTGCTTGAACCCAAACTAAACAAAGTCGTGGCCAGGACGAGACATGATCTTTGTATAGAATGACAATAACTTATTTCATTGAGATAAGTTCTGAAACAACATATCCTGGATATTGGAACAGATTCTCTAATAAATTTATTACTACCAAAATCAAAAGGTTCAGGCCTTTTATTATATGAAGTTGTTATTTTGGTCACGTTGAATGTGGTTGAAACTTGTTTACAAATTCCCGATGTCCGATGTGATGCACGCAACAATAAGGGGTCAAAAAGAATTATTCTTTTGTTAGGTCGACATCTTAAAAAGATTCATTTAATTAGGTTCTTTTTTCTAGAGCACAAATTTTATAATCTTTTAAATAGGTAATGTAAGAAGTGCTGGTGTTTTACATACTTTACCTACCATGGGCGTCCAGTCTATAGAGTTGCAAATAAAGTCTAAAGTGCAAATCATTCAAAATGGAAACAAGAAGCTGCTGCAAACATAACCAAGACGCTGAAGAATAAAATGTATGTTCTATCATCCTTTTAACATGAAAATGGATTGTAACAACTTAATTTATGACAAGTTCGCAAACAGCCTTTATGCAACTAAACAAACATGGCGAAAATGAGGCTAAATGAAATTTAGGCAAGGTTAAAATCAAGGCATGATGGTCAGCAGAGGACATGCTGCGGGGCGCCCCCTTCGCAATTGCAGGGTCACGAGGTTTTCAGTACGTTTTGAGATCGTCGCGGATCCTAACGTGAGCCCCCTCTTGTGCTCGCACCCTCCCTCCTCTATAGCGGGCCAAGAGCAGGTAAGTATAAAACAATTCCACTGACTTGTCAGTGTGACGGGTGCCAGGGGGGTGGACCAAGGTTGTGTTGCCATGGTAACCTCCCTGCTGTGGGGAGTCAGCGCGACTGCCACAGTGCTACGGCACCTTCCTCCAAGCTCATCAGTGCCCATGAGTTTAATTGCTGTGTAACAACTTCATTTCCATGTGACGTCTTTGTTTTCTGATGTCGTCAACCATAGTTAGTTTGTCTGTTTAAAACATCTTCCCAACAAGAATATAGTTCATGACCAATTGGCATTGGTGAATGCATTTCAGTATTTATGGTAGATAGAGGCATTTTTTTATCCCACTCAGTGAACGGAAGTAAAAAACGCAATAGCGTGTCAGTTGAAGCTCAGGGAATCTGGTGATGAGTCCTGTTCGTCCACCATTTTCAGTTCCCAAATTATACACACCATCCGGACTCGTTCTTCTGGAGGTTGAGGCACTAGCTAACTTAAAGAGAAAAGAGTAAAATTAAATGTTTTGATGTTAACCTCATTGCAATGGTCAGGAGCAATTATTTTTGTTTCAAAACAATGTAAAGCAAGTATGTGCTTCGAATAAATCGGGTCACCCTTTGGAAGAATAGCTTCGTATGACCCCCCCCCAACCCCTCGGAAATTACTGCCTTTGGGACCCCCCACCCCCTCAGAATTTCCAATGACCTTCCGTGGGGGGTATGGATATTTTCTAGAACTACACAATGCTGCACTTAGACTAAAGGACTAAAGAAGTTTTTCTCTCATAAAATCCTTATTTGCGATAAACTTGAATCAAATGACTATAAACTCACTCATTTCTGTCTGACCAGCACAACAATGATTGCCTCTGTCTTTGCAATTTAAGATGAAAGAAATAACGTGCAGAAAAAAATGCCCTATGACTTCACAGCGAAATATCATAGGCACACTAAAGGCAGGCAGTAAAACTACCTGACGACTTCTCAGCAAAAGATCACAGGCATTTAAGGGCAGAGCCTTGCTTTCATGTTGAGGTCAGGCTTGTGCAATTGATTCCCCTCATTTCCAGACCACAAATCAATTGTACAAAATATCTCATTCTGAAGGGTAGACATTGCTCTTTAGGAATAAGACACCAAACCTTTTCTGTGAGGTGGGTTTTGCATTTTGCTATTTTTGGGGACTCTACCCCTAGACAAATAAGTTTGGTAAGTGGTTTCCCCATTCAAATGATTGGGTTATTCTTAGTTTCAAATATTATAGAAAGACCAGGCCCCGGATGTTAAAAGAATGGATAACTTTTTGGTTTAGATGAGATTATTTAGGCGAGATTCTTTTGCCTTTCTGCTTTGAATTTCTTTACTTTTTGTGCTGACAGCTAGGCTAAATCTTTTCTATTTCCAGCTATAGACTCTTCTCCATTTAAACTTTCTCCGTTCACTTTCTAGTTTTTGTGATTGAAATTCAAGGACCAGAATGTTTTGCTGCAAGAAATCCTTTGGGAGGCATTTATGTAATTGGCCATTCACACCTTGGTGGGCTAAAGAATTCTATTTAAATACACATTTTTGTAAATGACTTGTGTTCATTTCAATATTTTACCAAAATTTTTCTTGGAAACTACAGTTGAAATACTAATTCTTAGTCAGACATGAAAAAAATTTCAAATAATTAACCCTTGAAGGTCACTCACTCAAGTTGATGACATGTGGCTTCCCCTTCAATAGGCTGTAGCCACAAAAATCATCAGCTGTCAAAGAATGTTCTTTTATAGGGTATTTCAGGTAAATAGGTTATCCTACAAATCTGGAACACCTAGGAAATGTTTCGTTTTAAAAAAAACCAAGTGAAATAGACGATCTTATCCAGGGGAAAATTTTTTCACTCTTTGAACAACCAGGGCCAGGTTGCTTTAGCAGTTGACATGTAGGAGTAGTCTAGAGGTTGAAGTATAATGATTTCAAATGGCGTGTTACCCTCATCGCATCTCTGTTGATATGATTTTCTGTTTAGTTGTATCCAGACAACTTTGCAAAGCGGGAAGTGATGAATCTCAAGGTATTCTGTCGCATGAAGCAACGCGGCTGTGCCTGGAAGGGAGAGCTTGGCAAGTTGCAGGTATCAGGGAGTGTTCAAGCATAAATTAGACACTTTTACATTTACTTCTCTGATAGGTAGTAACGTGAATTTAGTATAAGAGTAGCAAAGGTTGACATTTTAAGTTGTAGTTCTCTACATTAGAGCAGTTGATAATTGTTGTTGCCTGCTAACACAGCCAAACAGTTTCCCTAGGAACCATATGTACTGTCATGCTGAATAAATTAAGTGTGGCAGCATGACATGTCTCTCTATCTGCTCAATCAATTGCTGAATTCTGCGCTTTGTTGAAGAATCATAAGTGACTATGCAGTCGGAAAAGTAAAAGTAGATGAAGTACAACGAATATGGAAAATCAGTTTTTGCCCAGTATCAGGAAAAAAATCAAGCTGGAGTTACAGACACTGAAAGCAAGTATTGACTTGTTAACTGAAAGATGTAAGACTTTGGAGAGTTCTCAACAGTTTTTATCAAACAAATGATACTGTAGTGGAAACTCTGCAAAACATAAAGGAACTGTCAGGTAACTAAGCTGGATAAGAAAGGCAAGGAAGCTACTGCCTTGTATGATTTAAAAATGAAGCGTTAGAGGCAAAATAAGCAAATATGGGGGACATTGTTGACAAGACTCAAGAGTCTCATATCAACTCGAGTGTTCACTTGACGAAGCGCAACAGTATTTGAGAAGGGATTACCTTGAGATCACTGGCGTTCCGATCACCAGTCAGGATAACCCTAAGCTGCTTGTCAAAGAAATTGGCACGTTAATTGGTGCAGAGATGGATGACAGTCATATTGTGGCTGTTCACAGGCTTCCTGATTCAAGGAATGTCAAAACTTGTGTAATTGTCAAATTTCTCCAAAGGGACAAGAGAGAAGAAGTATATAAGAAACGTAAACATTTTGTTGGGAAGAATATTCAAAATCTGCCCTCCATACAAACCGAAGTAGACGAATCTTCCTCTACAGATAGCAAGATTTACATAAACAAGTCATTGACCAGCTATCGTAAAAGGCTTTTTGGATGATTTTAAGGATTTCAATAGAAAGGATAATGTCAAGTACCTTTGGACCAGTAATGGCAAGATTATGATCAAAGTAAATGATACGTCTGCTACAAAAGCTTTTACTATGCACAAAGAATTTGAGGACTACCTAGACCAGATAAGCAATACTTCTTAATGAATATTGTCTCATTATATTATATTACATTATGTCTTATGTATTATTGAATAGTCACATTCTATTTCATGAACACTTTGCAAATTCTTCCCTTCTATAATTTAGATGACAGGGAATTCAGCTTTGTTGTAGGTAATTGGTCTAGGCATATACATGAATTAATGGAGCTTGACCTTTATAACCTCCTTCCTTTAAATCCTGATAAAAACGATGAGGCTGACCCTGATCTAATGTTTACTAATCCCCAGTCTGAATACTATGATATCCCTAAACTTGATGATATAATGTATTATGTAAAGCTCATGGCAAAGGTATCTCTCTTTTCCATTGCAATATAAGAAGCTTGCCAAAGAATTTGACCCTATTGAATGACATGTTCTACTCCACAGACTCTAGGCCAAACATAATTGCTGTCACTGAAACTAGATTAAATTCCAATTCGATTTAAAATGTAGATCTTCCCAATGACAATTTTTTTCATGCTGATTCACCAACCCTTGCAGGGGGCACAGCTATCTATACTAAAGATACTATTAAAGCTATTCCCAGGCCTGAATTGAAATTAGATCTCCCATTAGTTGAATCATGCTGGCTTGAAATTGACCCTTGTTGTTTTCTCATGTGGTTTTCGTCTCCAGCATGAAGAAATATATCCTCACAAGACAACCTTTCTTAGAGATGAGAATTAAATTTTATTTCTACTTCCTAACCGCTTTTTTGATGCTTAAATACAAAACATTCACACTCGCTATGAATAATAATTTTTTAGCGCAACCTATAGCTAATTACGTATGAATAAAAGAGTGGCGCGTACTAGGAATAACGATCTAAACAATTATGGACTAATTGCAATATACAATGGCATATTGCAACGCTTGTACTAATAAGAAACTTATTATGATTGGCTGCATTTATAAGCACCCATCTGCAAATGTGGATGAATTTAAAATAATACTTTACGAATTCCTTAAACAATTAAATAGGGGATATGAATATTGACCTTTTAAAACATCACACTCATCTGCAAACAGGCAGATACCTTGACATGCTTTATTCTCATAGTCTGTTGCCAGTTTTACCTAAACCTACCAGAATCTTGTCATACTGCAACCCTAATTGACAATTTCTCTTCTGCCAACACCACAACAAGAGCAACAAAACGTTTATAAATCCTCATTTTCAAAATGGAACACGTCTTCATCAAGAGTTTTAAATTTTCTGGTTTATTCATTTGATTACTTGTTTCTTTTTACTGGATTGTTCTGGCACTCTCAGAATGATATAACAATTCTTGCATTTCCAAGATGGCCGGACGCGTAACCTCGATGTCCATTAATTTTGGCCTTTTGCTCTGCCTGTTTCTTATGTTGAATGGCATAAAACAAGGCAAAACATCAATGAAGCCACTAAGCAATAGTAGCAACCTATATTTTGCTTCTTAAGAAGCTTGCAGGGTTGAAATTCAATCTTTTCACTCTCTGGCACGATGACCAGCTAAACATCAAGCAGTTGGAGCTTTCCAGAAAGGCTTTATTACGTGCAAGCTTCTACTTCATGCATCTCTAGCCTTGGCTTTAATAGCACTCGCCGGAGATGTTGAACTCAACCCTGGATATAGGAGTTTGGAGGATGTTAGAAGTTCACGAGGACTAAAGATTGCTCATCTAAATATTCGAAGCCTGAGGAACAAATCAGACTCGCTGTGCCTGGAGCGTTTGGATAACAAAACGATCGATATTCTTACACTTAGTGAAACTTGACTAGATGACTGCTATGGAGATTCTCATGTTATTATTCCAGGATACATTTGCATTCACCTGGATAGGTCTGGAGTCAAAGAAGGATTTGGCAGAGTAACAATCTATGTAAAGGAGGGCTTGTAGTTTCGTGTTAGGAATGATCCTCACTCAACCACAAATGAATGCCTATGGATTGCGCTAACGCGCACTAAATGTTGCCCAGTATTGATTTGTTGTGCATAAAGAGCTCCCGTTTTTGACTTTGCAAACTTTATTTCAAACTTGGAGATATCTATGACGAAAGTTGACCTGGATAAATGTGATTTCGTGCTTCTTGGCGACCTTAATGCAAATATGCTGCCATATTCAAGAAAGAAAGAAAAACAAGAGCTTAAAAAATTTGCAATTTCACATGATCTTACGCAACTCATTACTGAGGCTACCCGAGTGAAGGAAACCTCTCAAACTTTGCTTGACGTGATTGTAGTGAACAATGATCACCGCATCAGTGACTCCGGTGTTGTTCCTGTTTCACTGAGTGATCACTACCTCGTCTATTGTGTTTTAAAAGCAGGTATAATTAAGGCACCACCAAAAACAATTGAATACCGCTCTTCTAAAAACTTTGATGAGAACACCTTCCTAGCAGACTTGAATAGCGTCCCATGGCATGTTATTGAAAACGAGGAAGACATCGACAATACTGTGCTTATTTGGAATCAATTCTCAGAAATAGCTGACCTGCATGTGCCTGTTAAAAGGCGAAGAATATGAGGTGTTCCGCTCCCGTGGTTGAATGATAAAATCAACGAGGTCATGAAGGATCGTGATTTTCACCATCGTAAAGCTGTGAAAACCAATTCTGTTTTTCACTGGGCTTGCTATAGGAAGCTAAGAAATAGAGTCAATTGTGAGGTCAAGGCAGCAAAATCCAGTTGTTATTGTGACTTGATTCTAGAGGCAAAAGGGGATTCAGGGAAGATGTGGAAGGTGGTGAATGAGGTGTCTTCTCACAAGACTAAATCCTCGAGCCCACAATGTATCGTACCTGATGGTGTTAAACACACCACTCCAGCCTCTATTGCATGTATGCTCAACTATTAGTTCGCTTCCATTGGCAGAAGTCTTGCAAATAAAATATCAGCTCCTGTTATGTTCCCAGTCAGATCGGCCACGAAATTACAGTATTTCTCGCCTTACGAATTTGATGAGGAAACAATACTCAAGGATCTGCTTTCTCTGAAGACAAATAAAGCTATTGGCTTGGACAAGATCAGTGCGAGACTCTTAACGTGTGGCGTGCGTGTTATTTGTCCCTCGATCACCGAGTTACTGAATCTCTCTATTCGCACTGGCAATTTTCCTGAAATATGCAAATGCTCGAAAGTGGCTGCACTTTTCAAAACTGGAGATAGGACAGATGCGTCAAATTATCGCCCAATTCCTATTCTGCCAACGATGAGTAAAATACTGGAAAAAGTCGTCCACTTCCAATTCTATGACTTTCTAAATTCAAATAACCTCATTTCAAACAAACAATTTGGCTTCCGTTCCAAACTGTCTACAACATCAGCTCTCACCAGTTTTGCAGATTAGGTCCTATTGCATATGGAGGGTGGAGAACTGTGCGGTGCAGTGTTCTTAGATTTGACCAAGGCATTTGATACCATTGACCATAAGATCTTGTCATCTAAATTGTCGGCTATCGGTGTCTCGCCCAGCACGCTACAGTGGTTCAAGTCCTACATGAGTCCTTGTAAACAGCGGACTGCCTGTAGTGATGCTATGTCTGACCCTCTCCCGATGACCTTTGGGGTGCCACAGGGGAGTATTCTAGGACCGCTTCTCTTCTTCGTTTATATTAATGACCTTCCTCTGGCTATAAAGAATTGCAAGGTGACTTTGTATGCTGATGACATGGTCCTGTACTACTTTGCTAACAAGCCACACCTGTTGGAAGAGGCACTGAATGATGATCTCTTGCAAGCTGCCCAGTGTCTACATGGAAATATGCTAACTTTGAATCTTACTAAGATGAAATCCATGATTATAGGTAGGGATGTTAGTTTGTGCTTCAAAATGGTGGAAAATGCATCTCTGCAACTGTAGAATTTCAAAAATTTCAGGGGGAGCATGCCCCCCAACCCTTCAAGAAGGCAAGGCCCAAAGGGCCTTGCAGACAGATGCCTGCCTGTGAAATCCAGATGCCCTCCAGCTCCAAATTTTAATGAAACCCCTGCCATTTACCAATTTTTTGCCCAGTTGAAACATTTAAAAAATAAAATGATCAATTTTACCACAGAGACTATAGCAAGTTTAACACTGAAGCTTATCTTCAAGATATCTCTTTTGTTGATTGGGTTGTCATTTTTGCTCAAAGTAATAATTTGCATGAGGCAACAGCTAGATCTATTGATATACTGAAATCAATTGTAAATAAGGATGCACCCCTAAAACGTGTCATGGAGCAAACATTAAAGCAATTACTAAAACCTTGGATCTCAAAGGGAATACTTAAATCCATTAAAACCAAACATGCTATGTATAAAACCCACTATCTATCTAACGACCCAGTTAAAATCAGTGAATTTAAAAACTACTCAAATAGATTAAACCATCTCAAAAACGCTAATAAGAAAGCCTACTTCTGTAAAAAATTTGACCTATGTAAAAAAAAAACTTAAAGGCTTCATGGACGATAATTGGTAATCTATTTAAGAGAAAGACAAAGGGTCAAACCACACCTCAAAGAATAGTTAGGAATAATATTGAAGACCTACAGTCCACTGGTAATGATGACATCGCCGATCAGTTTAATAAACATTTTGTTAATGTTGGTCCCAGTTTAGCCAGCAAAATTGCAGTTAACCAGGAAAACCCTTCACAATATACTGTGTCATCTCTAGCTAATAGTTTTGTTATTTCCCCTGCTACTGAAACCCAGGTTTTAAATTTGTTTATGATATTAGATAAAAGCAAATCATCAATTGATATACCAAACAGTTTAATAAAACTAGCGGCTGAACCATTATCAGCACCTTTACTCAAAATTTATAATCAATTAATCCAGACTGGAGTTGTACCAAATATTCTGAAAGTTTCTCAAGTCACTCCAGTTTACAAAAGTGGTGATGTAACTAACCCAGGAAACTACAGGCCCATTTCAATTCTATCACCTTCAGTAAGATACTTGAAAAATTAGTTTACAACCAACTACATGATTTTTTGGAAAAATATAACATTTTGTATAGATATCAGGTTGGTTTTAGGAAGGGCACTGAACTGAGCAAGCCATTTTTTGAGATCACTGACACCCTTAGGCAGGCAATGGTTAAAAGGCTGGTTACCTGTGGTGTTCTCTTAGATTTTTCAAAGGCATTTGATACAGTTAACCATAAGATTCTCTTGTCTAAACTCATCCTCGGAGACCCAGGGGCAGTGGGTCGATTTCAATTTAGGGCATGAAGAGCCCCTGGGGACATTTTCTTACAAGACTAGCTCCAAACGGTCGCAGTCGTTCTGCCATCTGATTGGTGCCAGAAAATCTTTGTGTTTTTCTGCCCAATCAGAGTGAAGTGTCCTTTCGTGTGTTTTAACACGCACATACACAACAAGCTCTGTTGCTCGCTATGTTTGTTTGGGCCGTGCGACGAAGCTTTGCCCGAGGTGAAAAGTTTCAGTCTCAGCACACAATGTAAGAGAAATCGATCAGATTGTCCGCGAAATCTTACCGGAAATTATACTGAATACTTTCGCAGGTATCACAAGAGAACGACA